GAAGGTAACTAAAACCAAAGTGGAACTGTAAAAATTGCAAAGCCTGTTTTTCTTCAGAGATACAGGGCGCTTGGTATGAAATGCTGTGCGAGTGCATATTCACGTAAGGGGTCTGTGCTGGGTTTACAATCTATAGCATCTCTCTGCTTTACGTAAATACTGATGTTTTGCTTTTGGTGATCCCTGGTTACTCAGACTTTGACAGCTCCCCCTAACACCCAGAGCAAACTCACAGCAAAGAATGCAGAAATGTGGATCCCCTACTTTGAGTAACATTAAAAAGCTCAGCATGCCTTCCTCCCCAAACAAAGGTATTTTGTTAAGGATAGTGCTTCTTAGTCTCTCTCCTCTGCTTTAGCATGGATGCTGGAGGATGGTTGCACACCTGAACGAACGGTTAAACAGACAAATGCAAGAGGCTTAAACCTGCCTCTGCCTGGGTAAGCTTTTGGTTTCCTCCCCCAGAATCACGGACCCAGCAAACTGTCACAATAACACTATTTCTGCAGATTTGCTTTTCCTGCGGATGAAAAAAACTAAACTACTTTGGTGGAGAAAAAAACTTCAAGCGTTGCATCACATTTTCCAAGGCCTCAAATCATCCTTCAAACTTACAGCTCCAATGGTATATACATTGAAAAACCAGAGCGCACGCTCATAATGCAGAGTCAGAATGTGACAGGTGCAAATGCTCTACAAAAACCCGGCGCGATTTTTACTTTACATTTTCCTTCCATGTCATGTCTCACTTGATGCACTGGGGAGAGCTTCCAGCTCAGCGTGCCTTTTTGTTATGTAAAAATGTTGGACTTAGGGGTGTTTTACTTGGAGGGAAATATGCTGTGGATTCCAGCCTAAAAGGATTTAGGAAGCGAAGAGCCAAGTCATTATTTCCTTATATTTTTAGGAAACTGACAGAACCCCCGAGATTGTCAGCTGTGCTTTTTGTGCAGGTTTCTGACTCGCATTTAGGAATTCCACCGAGACCTCCAAACTCATCCCAGCTATGATCTTAGCCACCCAGGAGGGTCCCCTGCTAAAGCATCTTGCCAGTACAAACAGCTTGTTTGTTCCCATCAGTCACTCACTCTTACCTAACTTCTTGCCTCTCTCACCACTGGCTGCGGGTCAAGAAGAAAATCAAAGCTAAAGAATCGAGGATAATAGAAACTGCATATATACGAGGGATGGAAGGAGGCAGAACTGCACTCCACGTGTGAAGCTGACTGGCACGATTGCTTATGGCTCCAGTGTTTTCTGCCACGGAGCTCAGACCCTCTTGGCCACGGCTCCGTTTCTCTTGGAGTGGTATTTTGACAGAACGCCCCGCTGTCATTTACTGTCAGCCCTGTCTTAATGTGTTCATTGTTTCGCTAGAAACCTCTTGCAGAGCTGGAGTGCATTCTGGGTGAAACATCTTGTGGAAAAAGAAAACATTTCCCAGTTGAAGAGAATACATTCAATGTGCAGTAACAGCAGCAGCAAGAGAACTGGGGAGGGAAGGCGGGGGAAGCAATATTGCTTCTCTTGCCTCTAATACTGCACTAATAATAAGGTGCATTATGAAAGGACTGTGGCCCTCAGAAATGTCAGGTACGGCCCACTGGCAGAGGTAGGCAAGCAGACAGGGTGGAGCAACGATCTGAATCAATATTACAACCTTTTCCTACATTCCTAACTGGGTCTGTTTTTCAGCAGTCTCCTTCTTTAGCCAGTTAGGTGTGGTCCTCCGGCTCTGACAAGTGGCCAGTGAGATGGATGACTGGACAAAGTGACAGCAACATATGTGGGGGTGCCCAATATCAGTAGAGAAAGGTGACGTCTGATCACCAGTGCCTTCACTGCTCTCTTCTTCCCATTACTGAACTGCCCGAAACCCTGGATTCTTCTCAAGTATCCACCACCCACAGGTTAAGGTGGCCTCATGCTCTTGGCTGTTGAAGATCTCTTTGAAGTCAAGTACGGGTGAAGAAAGTCCCTTAAGTGTAACAATCCCTGGGGACAGACCAAGGAAGGAATCAATCTGCATGAAGATTTCTACCCGGACCACCCCTTGACAGGAGATTTTTATTTCAACCAGTGGTAGAAGAGTAACCAGTCTGCTCACAGCTTTGCCTTACCTCTGTGCTCCTACTGCTGATTTTCAAATTGAGGCAGAAAGCGGGATATATTTGCACGTTATCAACTAAATCAGAGATGTATAGCGTGAGCTTTCGTAAGCAGAGGGCACACTTCATCCAATGCAGGCAAGGGAGTGCAGAAAATAGAAAGTCATGATTAGAGTACAAAGCGTAGGGAAGGGGGGAGGAAAAAAGGGGGGGCATTACTGAGAGGGGCAAATTGAGGTCACTGAGGGTTAACTCTGGATGGTGCTCTCTCAATCCAGGGGTGAAGAGAGACAAGGGAAGCTGCTTTGGCCCCCGACTCAGGCTCCCCTATGTTTTTTTTACTGAGATAGGATGCTTCTTTCTTACCGTCTGCTGTATTTTAATTCCCCCACGCTGGGCCCGTGATTGAGCTTGCTTTGACACCTAAAAAAATAAGGACAGTTTGAGGAATGGAGATGCTGGCAGGACAAATCAAACTGGCAGCACAGCTTTTGGCTGAACACAACAAACATTTGCAAACTCCAAACTGAATGAAGAACAGGCCTTGGATTGGGAGCGGGCAGAACTGTACAACGATGCTGCTCTAGGGGCTGGAGTGGCAAGGGGGACTAGAGGGGCTGGAAGCAACACGCTGAAATAGGTGGGAATCATGAAAGACAGCTGGGAGGAGGCTTTGAGAGGCGATGAGAAGTTCTGTTTTCCTGCATTTAGGAAGGCCGTCGTACTCTCTTTCTTTCCAACAAGCTTTAAGGAAATAAATCAAGGGGAACAAGCCACTTCCTCCCTCCCTAAAAAAAGAAAACTTGACTTCCTCCAAGCAATCAGCAGCACTTCTTCCACGCAATGAGCTGTGCACGCTGCAACGCCGAATAACTGTGCGGGTACCTCGCTTCTTGAGGCTAAACCAACAGGACACTTGCAAATGTGATGACACGTCTGTGAATTTCACAGATATGTCCTTATCCCATTTAAGATTCTGCCTCCAATGGAAAACAAGGCACAAGGTTGTGAGACACTTTCATGCTATAAAAACACCTTCTGACAGCACGTTGCCTGGGGTCACGCTCTCCAGGTCATTGCCATGGCCCTCAGTCTCCTTCCCAAATGCATCCTGAGAGTTGTTTAAAAAGAAACAAACCCCCCCCAGGAAGCCCTAAAGTATCCTTGAGATGAGCTGAAATGTTGAAGGGAACATTTGGATTTTCCTCTGCCCACCAAAAACAGCTGAAGTCAAAACAAGGAAAAAGGCGTTGGCTCTCTCTAACTCCCTCCTCCCTATTTTAAAGAAATGTATGCTTCGGCTTCTGGCTTCAGGAAATCTGAGTTTCTATTGTTCTTGGCTCTCTTCTAGAAGGCCATACTACTCGATTCGCTGCTAGAGTGAAATCCTTTTCGCTAATCACAAAAGAGAACGATCTTTCCTTTTTCCTGCTCCAGAAATGGCCACTTCAGTTGGACTTTTATTTTTTTTTCCTCTTTTTTCCTTTTTTAGTAGAATCACCTACTGTTGCTTCCTACCCTGCATCACATGGAATTGGGGCCGAGCTTGTTTTCTTTAGCCTTTAGTCAATGCAGAAAACGTCTCTGGGCCTTAACGAATAAAACACACCGAAGAGCAAATATGGGCTCTTTGCGCACACGCACACCGGGACGTAGAAGAGATGAAGACGTCTCTCCTTCCTTCAGCCTCGCGACCGAGATGCTCTCGCATTGCACAGGCATGGGATGCTCCCAAGACCCTGTACCAGTGCGAGCCGTCTTTTGTTCATCCCCGCCAGCGTGCAGAGAAATAACCTGCAGTGGGATCAGTTTGTGAATCGGGCTTGGCGCAGTGGCAAGCGCCTGAGAGGCAGCGAACCGGCTTTTGTGATAGCCCCTGTGCTAGGGAGGGCGAAGAATTGCAGAAATGAAAACAATGCAGGAGGCCCCTCTCCCCCTTTTCCCGCCTCCTTCTTTCCCGCCTCCTTTCTGTTTTGCTTTCTCTGTTTCTGAATGAATCCCCCCCTACACACATGCACGCACGCACACACACACACACATATATACACCTCTTTCCGCCCCTTGCTCAGGCCCCAATGCTGGTGCCTCTTTCTTGGAAGTGCGCTGCATGCCAGTTGGAGGCCAGTGTGGGGAGGGGAAGCAGCAAGGGGAGGGGGCAGAGGGAGACAGCTTTCCTGCAAATCACATGATTACCCAGCTTATATAAATCACAGCTTGTTTTTCTCCATTGCCAGGGATTTAAAGGCACAGGGTTTCTTTTTCCAGGAGGATTCCGGTTGAGCCATTTCAAAACCGAGGCCTCAACCTGGATGCCAGGTCTTGACAAGGAGAGGCTCCCTTAAGACAATCTGCACACATGAGATTAAGCCAGTGATATGCTATGTCTGATGGAAAGTTGTGTCAAAAAATAAATAAACGTATCTTAGAGTGCAGCACACGCTACCTAAGGGCAAATGCAGCTGCCTCGGTGGCAAGCGATGATAACCAGTGAACATATGTATGCTGGTACCAAGGAGGAAGAAAATCGTAGCCACAGGAAAAGCGCCATAGGAACTGAAGGTCAACCCAGACCAGGCATGGCCTCGATTTGGACGAGCCACATGCAGAGAAGTGCATCAGCTCATCTATCCTGAAAGCATGAAGCTTCATGCTCATCGTCATGAAAAGCTCATCTTCATGAAAGCATGAAGCATCTATCCTGAAAGCATGAGTCAGTCTCGCCAGTCGTCCAACCTCATCCAACCTGATCTTTAGACCATTAAACCATCTTCTGCAGATGGTGACACTTACTGGAGGAAGAACAGGAGCTCGCTATGGACGGAAGAGCTGGGAGGTTGTTGGTTGCAGAAGTGCAGTGTAAGGCCAAGGAAAGTCGCCATCCTAGAGGAAGGAGTTTACCTTACAGGCTCTTGGGACAGCTTCAGAAACTGGGGGTAAGCTCCTGCTTATCTTACCGGGCAGGATGACCCCCCTCTTTCTGTGGGACCTGCATACATCCATCCTAAAAGTCCCCCCGCTTTGCTGACCTGTGGGTGAGGACTCAGGAAGAGGCCTTCATAGAAAGCTGGGAACTCTCTCTCCAGTTACCACGCGCGCTTCAGAACAGACTCCAGACGCTGCCAGGTTGCCACAACAAAATGACAATCAACTATTTCTTTAAATAGGACCAAGCCAAATACTGAGAAGGATCAACTGCTTAATAGTGGCCGAAAAAATCTACAGCATTTTTCACCAAGGGTAATTTTTTAAAAATTTTATGCATATAAATCATTCCTTTTATACAAAGAAGGACTGAATGCCGATGTTGAAATCATCCTCTCATAAATCTAAGGAGAATGCATTGCTGCAACTGTACTGAATTAAAACCAGCAAGAGGAAGAAGATGCTTGATACAATAAATGATTGTATGCAACACTTCACAATATCTGACACTCATAATGAAGCAGCAGGGCTCCAGGTACCTGCCAGGGCTTCAGAGAACATGGTAGACTGGGAGAGGGGAAAACCAGCAAGCTTAAAAAGCACACCAAGAAATAGTATTTTACGCATTTAAAACAGTCCTTTTTCAGCTATAAAGGTTCACAGTGCTCTGAAATATGGGATGTAACATCCTTTCCTTCAATTAGTTCTTCTTTCTCTGCTAGACTATCATTGAGGTAGGATATATAAAACTCCAGGTTAGATTTCAACCTGTAGTAAGACACTTCTCCTTTGGCTTTGCTGTAATTGTACCTGCTTCCTCGAGGGCTCAATCTGTACTATAATATTTTCAATATTGTAAAGAAAAAGCTACATACGCAGCACGGGGACAGTGCAAGCATTTGCCATAGAGAATATGCCACTCTAAAAAAGGGATTCACTGTAAATTTCCTGTGGGTTGGAAAGAAAAGCCCAGTCCTGTACCACTATGAGCTTGCTGCCAACGCGGAGTTTTGTTAAAAGATCTGGCGGATCGCAGACAGACAGGAGCCATTTGCAAGAGCGTGGAGATACGTTCTGGGAGAGAAGTGATGTTGACTGAGAACGGGAGCATCTGATTTTACATCCATTTAAACTTTCTCATTCTAAACTTACGCCTACGAACCGATTCTTTGGAAGGCTTCTGTGTGCTATGAATGGTGCTAGATCTCAGGAGAGATTTGGCTGGTTCTGCTTGTTTCCCATATGCAAACTGTTTCTTGCGCAGGGTTGTAACCTTCAGTCTCCAAATATTTTGCTACTCCTAAGCAACTACCTTATCCACCTGCGTGTGATAGCTGCTACGGGTTGTAAAACGTGACAGCTTGGTTGTTTACAGGTGCCAGCCACAACGGTCGGCTTGCAAGGACTGCACACTCTTGGTTTATAAGCCTGGTTCCCAAAGAAAAACTGCTCAAGGCAGCAGCAGAGTGAGGACTGACCCAGATTGACACACCACTAATGGATTTAAAAATCATGTGTGACGAATCCCTCTCTGGTGAAAGCAACCACATAATGCTTTGTGCCCTGAATTCCTCTCTGGTGAAATTCCACTAAATCAAACGAGTTGCACCAGAAAGGCTGATGAGGAAGGAGGCGAGTGAAAGAAAGCAGGAGAGGCTGACAGCGTGCAAATATATGGGGAAAAAGCGGTGCGAATCTGTGCGCGCCCAGGCGGAGCACGGTGGATATGTATGGGTAAGGGAAGTGATGCGATTGTGTTGCTATATGTGATCCAGGGCATGTGCATGCGTGTTGCCAGATACCGCGTTTGAATGCGTGCAGCAGGTGGGCAGGAATGAGCGGGGAGGGACTGCTTCCTGGGAAGAAAGGAGGCACAGCTGCCCTGCAGGAAGTTTTGAATAGCAATGACAGGCATTGGCTGGGAGCTACAGCTGATTTCACTTTGCCTAGCTAAAGAGATGTCGCTAAGGCAATTGCAACAGCATTTCCAGTGAACCTGCTTTGCTTGGTGAATAAACAACATTAGAAACTTATGACAGCAACAAACTTCTCCATTTCCATATTTGGACCTAAAAAATCTGATTAAGCACACATTACAGAATTCAGGAGAACTGACATGTATATGAGGCGGCCAGGCTGTCATCAGCATTATTTATGCTTATCAGGTGCCTTTCCCCCTTCCCTTTTTTTAAAATATATTAGCAAACTGGGATTCTGCACGTCACATTTTCTTGACCAAATTAAGTTTTCCCCTCCTGTCCCTCCACTTGGAAAACTGAGTGCATTTTTCATTCAGCATTTTTTTTTCCCCCCAGTGCACTAGGTTTAGAAGAAATATCACATGGACATGCCCAGTCGACATGGCCATCCTGAAATGGGCAGCATCAAGTTGCTATTTGTAATGCAGTTTCTCTCTATTTGTAACAGCTCCTGGGAATTTGGAATTGCAACAGTGCAATGCAGAGGTCTCTTCCAAACTGTATAAGCTTACAGAGTTGTTACCGTGTGGCTGCATATAAAGGCACTTGAGAAGGGGTGACAGAGATAGGTGCACACACTGGTCTTTTGCTTGGATGTAGCTTGCACTTTCTGGGGCACACAACCTTTTTTATTTGGGCCTGATGCATGCTGGAATCCCAGCACCGTACTTGAAAATAATCACGGAAGATTTTGCTTCTTTTTACCAAAAGAATCACACGCACATCACAAACAGGTACTCGGATACTCTGGTAATCACAGGGACCATATGCCAACTTGGCTAGAATGCTGCTAAACAATACCTGTGAGAAGTTCGGACATTTCTGTACTTTTACTTCTTTAAAGTAAATGCTGCCGACAACACAGTCAATAGTTGTAAGGCGGAATCAGATACTAGGCAACCCCCGGCACGAGTGCCACAGCATGGCATGTGAAGCATTTTGCTTGGCACATGTGCTTCGGGGTGGACAGCAGGGAAGGGGCTGGGACTCCATTGCCACCACAAGGATCAGGCCCCTTGCGGCTTCCCTGCCATCTGCCCTGGCATGCAAACATCTTACAAAGTTGAGGTTGTGGGTGTTTTTGGCGCTCAGCCCAAAAACACTGCCGACCCCTGTATTAAACTGTTTTTTCCTGTTCCTGCCCTTCTCAGTTGGCTTGTTTTCTTCCAATGCAAATCTTTTGGGTGGCCTTGTGTGTCAATACATGTTTTTATCCCAATTGTACCCCTAGGAGCTATTGCAATTCTTAAATATTAAGTGAATTTCCACTTCCTTTTTGCTCTCCTTTCTGATTTACATGCCTGTCTTATATTCAAATACAACTTGGTTTCATAACAAAGGTGCAAATAACGGGCTGAGTATGGCAGCAAGGTTTCTCAAACCTGCCTCGTCTCAGGTTTATCATTCTTTACTGTTGCTGCTTCAGAGCTCGGCAAAGCCTTGGCTTGGCTGCGTGGATTTGGAACGGTCAGATGAAGCTTGGGCAAACTCAGCAAAGCTCTCCGAGCCCATTTTTCTCCCGCTTTGCAACATGTCAACCCTTCCCACACTGGGCCTCTCTAAGAGAGAGACTGCCAACAACAGCAAATAAATCTGGTGGTGTTGTAATAAGGACAAGAGTCCAGGAGTGATTGTGCCACCAATTCGGCCCTATTGTATTTCCATTTCATTTCCTGGAAGGTTTTGGATTGGATCGGGAATCTGTGTCCTTGCCATCTCTTGGAGCTGCTTGGGAGGTGCGGGGGGGGGAAGGGGCATTAGTTTCATCTACAACCAGAATTACGGATTATTTTCTTTTGGATCCACGGACAGAGCTTTAGAAGCTAAATTGCACTGAGATAGGTTTGCACTTCCCACTTAAAAGGAGCTTTTTAATCCTCAATGCCCAACTTCAGGAACCTTTTAGATGCTTGCTCCCTAGATTACAGCCTCAGAATCCAGGGCTAGTCCTCTTCTCTGCTCCTCAACCGGTTTGTTTTGATGTCATGAGAATTACATAAAATGCCACCGACAAAGCCACAGTGGGTAAACAGATGAGACTGACACTCCATTTTTTTCCCCAAGTCTCTTTGGGAATGCAGTGCCACCTGCCGGACACCAGCCACTAAACCTAAGCTACCCAAAAACTTCCACTCCACCTCTGATCTGACTGGCAGGTCTCGGCTATTTTTCCCCTCTCAAATAATGACAGCTCTCCTCTTTTGGTACTGACCAGAAATTTCCAGCGGTGATCATAAAAATCAGTCTCTCTCTAAGGATCGTGCAATCTTTCCTGGCTGTCTTTAGTTCCCAGGAGAAAGCATCAAAGTCCCACCCACCTGGTCGGCTCGATCTTCTCATGTTCAAATACATCCCAGTGAATTTAAGTGCAGCATGTCCTGGATTGAAAGAAAAGGCACAATGGCTGAGCAGCACTTTCCGTTCCCATTGCCTTTAAATGAGCATATTGTGGAAGCGGTTCCAATACCTTTCATCTAAATTGCAGTAGCCACTTAAGGAGGCAAATCATTTTCTACCTTGGGAATTAGGAAAGACACCAGGATACATCGATACCCTGCTCCAAAACATTAGAACGAGGCTAAAGGGTTTTTAATGACTGCAAACAATCAGTAAATCTTATCCAAATCCAAAAAGGTAGCACATCCAGCTTCTCACTGCCCACAAGCATTATACCAAGAGACTGGATCCATACTTACTCAGAAGGATGAATGACACCTACTGAATAATCACCATCTCCGTTTCCTGTCGCACCCACGCTTATCCTGGTGGAAAGGTTCCCAATGGCGAGCTGGGAAGAACAGCTGAAATCACAGCATGTGGCAGTGCGGCAGCAGGTGTTCAGCTACTCCACGGAGTACTTTCTAGGAAGTCATAACAACAAGGAGAGCTCCTCTCAGTATCTGTGCTACCAAATTCCTCGACTTTCAGAGGATGAAGTTGTGAGAGCATATGGTTCCCAGGCACTGAATAAATATTTCATTAGTCTGAGGTGAGGATTCTCTTATTTGCAGGCTTCTGGCTTTACTCTGTGGCAGCTACTCCCCCTTCAGGACAGACAACCTCTTCCTCCCTGCCATCATCTCATTAGAAAATGCGGTTCGCTGCTTGGCGTTCTGCGTCCGGCTCGGAGGGGCGACGCGAGCCGAGCGACCGATGCGTCGGACAAACCCTTCCATGGAAAATCGGATGAAGTGAGCTGTTCCTCGTGCAAGTTTACACATCTGCGATTCAGTTATTCTGTAAGGTGCAACTCTGCCCTGCCTTTTGTTGCAGAGGGAGTTTTCCCTCGATGGGATTTCAATATGCACACACAAAAAATCAGTATTTGGATGGCAGGGGATGCTTGACAGCTGGGCGTTTGACTCGTGACCTAGCTGGGGGCTGGACTCGATGATCCTCCGGGGTCCCTTCCAGCCTGAATGTCTGTGAAATGTTCCTTGGGTTACCGCTCATGGAAATGTCTTCATTCAATGAACTTGGCTGTGTTTATTATTACGCTCAACCTTTTTTCAGCACCTTCCGGCATCCGGTCTCCGCTGAAGCAGCACAACATGAGGGAGCTTCCTTCGGCTACTGCCGTGTGTCCTGCTGGAGGGGGCCCTG